CAGCGGCGATATGATAGTCGCGAAGTTTCGAATGAAGCGCCGAAAGTAGGAACACAGCCCTTCGAAACTGCGCCAATCCTTGGCGGATGTCGGCTTGGGGAACTTGGTCATGGCCCGAAGCTTGGCTGGATGAGGAAGGATTCAGCCCTTGGACACAACGTAGCCGAGTATTGTCAGCTGCCGAGCTGCAAATCTGCACTTCTTTAGGTTCAGTTGCAGACTGGCGTCACTCAGACGCGTTAAAACATGCCGTAGGCGCTGAAGATGCGTCGAGAAGTCCGGAGCGAAAACTACGACGTAATCGAGGTAGCACAGGCACGTGTGCCATTTCAGGTCACGCAAAACAGTATCCATCATGCGCTCAAAGGTGGCGGGCGCGTTGCACAGCCCAAACGGCATGACGTTGAATTCGTACAAGCCGTCGGGGGTGACAAAAGCGGTCTTCGGTCGAGCGTCCTCAGCCATAGGTACTTGCCAGTACCCTGAGCGCAAATCGAGGGATGAAAAGAATTCTGCTCCTTGCAGGCTGTCAATAGCGTCATCTACCCGCGGTAGTGGGTACACGTCCTTACGAGTGATCTTGTTGAGGCGTCGGTAGTCCACACAGAACCGCACAGAACCGTCCTTCTTCGTGACGAGAACGACAGGAGATGCCCAGGGGCTGCTAGAGGGGCGAATAACATCGCGGCGAAGCATGTCGTCGACTTGCTCGTTGATTACACGGCGTTCTGTGGGAGATACGCGATATGGACGCTGTCTCAGTGGTGGCTGTGTGCCTGTGTCGATGCGATGCGTAATGGTGGATGTGCGGCCGAGAGAAGGTTGGGCGACATCAAAAGAAGACCGGAATTCTTCCAACAGGCCTAGAAGCTGGGAACGCTGGCCTGGCGTAAGGTTGTCGGGAACGGAGGGACCGAATACATCATCGGATGATGAAGCAGATGTCGAAACAGCACTAAGCGTACTAGAACTTGAGCAGTGCATGTCATCGGGTTGATCCATAACTTGTTCCATAACTTGTTCGTCTTCGATGGGTTCCACGCTGCCGAGACATTCTCCTCGCACCAACGTAACGCTGTACGGGGATGAGTTCACTGCAAAAATTGTGGTGCTGCCGTAAGTGAGTTGCACGGTCGCGAAAGGAACCAGCAAGTCTTTTCTGATGAAAACACGATGAGATGGCGAGAGGAGTGCAGCGGTGTCAGAAAGGCCTGCGCAGTAGACCGACACCGTCGCGGACGAGTTTGCAGGCACTTGGGTGTCATCTCTGACGAGTAACTTGCTTGCGGCAGATGGACTGTCGGCCGGCGTCAAAGAAGAGAATTGGGTGAGTTCTATTTCTGCTGGTGCGCAATGAATGACGGCTTCATGGCGGGAGAGAAAATCCCATCCTAGGATGACGTCGTGAGAGCATGAAGGAATTATGATGAATTCGACCGCATACATCACGTCCTGAATCATAAGGCGGGCTGTGCACATCGCCGTAGGGTGAATGCTTTGGGCGCTGGCTGTACGGAGGGAGAGCCCGGAGAGTGGCGAGGTCACTTTGCGCAGTAATCGGCTAAGTTTTGCGTCCATGACGGGTACGGCGGCTCCAGTATCTACAAGGGCAGATGCACGAACGCCATCCACAAGTACGTCTATCACGTTCGATGGGCTTTCCTGAGGGCTTCCGCAGTTCGACAGCGTCGCAGCCCTTGCCTCATGGACTGCGACGACTAGTTTTCCTGGTCGCCCTCGAGTGGACGTGGCCGCATCGACGACAGTGAGCGACGTCGCGGAGAATGTGAACGGCGGGTAGACGGAGCGGGGCGGGACGACGGTGACATAGGTGGCGGTTGGTCATAAGAGCGGCTTGATTGGCTGGGAAAGTTCGAGGCGACCTGCGGTTGCTGCACACGATTGCAATAACGTGCTACATGACTGACGCGACCGCAAGCAAAGCAGATGGGGCGATTGTCAGCAGTGCGCCATCTGTTCGCGGGTCCCATCCATGTCGCAGAACGCGTTGGGCGAGCCGGCTGCTGATATGAGTGCATGGTGGGCGGGACTCGGGGCACGTGGGTGACGTCGGCGTATGTAGGCAACACAGTTTCTCCGAAGGCGTGGGGCCTCGCGGTGGTTTCGGTGTAAATTACAGGGCAATCCACAGTAATCGGTGGGGGCGGCCTGGCTACAACTTGGGCGTAGCTGAGTGGCGCAGATACAGGAGGCGGCTGGTGGTATTCTGGAACGACCTGCGCGATTTCCTGCTGAATGGCTCGGCGGAGCGGAGGTACAAGTGTACTTGATGGCTGCTGAGCATGTTGCGGCGGAGCGAAAGCCAGTAAAGAGACCTGGCGGGCAACTTCCTCACGCACGAATGACTTGATTTCGGCGAGCAAGGTTGTGTGGTCAGGAACCGCTGACAAAGCCGAGAGACCAGCATCACGTGGTGGCGATCGACGGGTCATCAAGCGCTGCCGCCGCAGCTCGTCGTAACTTTGGCATAATGTAATGATTTCTGCCACAGTATGAGGGTTCTTGGCCAGGAGCATGGTGAAGGCATCGTCGGCGATGCCTTTTAGAACATTCGTGATTTTGTCAGCCTCTGACATGTTCAGGTCGACTTTCTTGCACAAGTCAAGGATGTCCTCGATGTAACTTGTGAAGGACTGACCAGTCTGCTGTGCTCGTTCACGTAAACGCTGTTCGGCTTGCAGTTTACGAACGGCAGGGTGGCCGAACACGTACGAAAGCGGTCTTAAAAGCGGACCAAGTCGGGAAATCAGATGCGTGGTTATTGTACCACATTCCGGCCACACCCGCAAGGTAGAAGAACAGGTTACCGAGTTTAGCTGCCACATCCCAATGATTGGGGACGCTCACACGTTCGTACATGGCAAGCCAGTCCTCGACGTCGGTGCCATCCGCGCCGGTGAAGACAGGAGGGTCGCGGATGCGGGGGACACCGGGACATGGCGTCGGTGTAGGAGGGAGCGTTTGCTGAGCGGCGTCCTGGTGCATGGTAGAAGGCACGGTACGGGATCGAAGCTCGAAGGGCATCGAATGCGAACCAAAGATGTTTGAAGGGGACAGCACTTCCACCAAGTTGTTAAGACGTTTATTGGCGGGCACTCGTTGATGAATCACGACAGCGACAGTAAATGCGGGGACCGACTCTCTGCACGAGCTGCTCTTCTTCTTATGAAAAGGGCGACCCACTAGAAGGCACTCGAGAGGACGACCCACTGTTCTAAGGCTTTGCCACAAGTAATTTTTAATACCACTCGATTCTTGGCCAATCCCCCATGGTGGCCATGCGCTACGATAAATAGGTGAACAGCAACAACAACAACAACATGGCTTCCGTTCAGGCACAGAGCCGTTCACGTGCATCCGCTTGGCTGTTTCAAGGAAGAAGAAGCTGTGAAAGGGACGTTGGCGTAAGTAACGAAGTGCTTCAGTTTTCACTGACGCCTGGCTGGACGTTCTCCTCCAGTTGGAGAATGATAGCACGTCTCGTTCGCGCACTGCACCCCACCTTCTGTATCGTGTTCGCCGTCTCCATCGCAAACGCCCACGCCCGCCGAGATGATGGCTACGGTGGGAGCATTTCTGAAGAATACGGGCCGCACTTCAGCGCTACGAATGCGGATGCATCCAAGCATGCTTACAAGCAACGCGGCATTCCAGCAGTTCGGTACGTGTTCGACATCGCCAAAGAGCGCATCAGGTACAACAGGAGCGTAGCAAGTCACGAAGACGAAGCTAGTAGGAACGCCAAAGAAGTGCGCATATTATACAACGCACCACCACGCTCCTACACTACGGCCACTATCGGGAGTTGGCCCTGGCCCAGAACTCGCCACCTGCGTTCGTTTCAAGAAGGCGCGCCAGGAAACGCCCTGTGGTCGTCCTTTACGAGTACGGCTGTGAAAAAATTCGACGTTTTCCCAGTGCGAGTCACCGGAACCGAGCGCTCTCTCGTCGCTAACAGCTTAACTGCGATGAAAGGTAACGGCGCCATTTCCCATATAACTTACAACCGCACGACCGAGAGTTGGCAGTTTGGCTACAAAGGCCGCGCAGCGGTGATAACAAGACCGAGAGCCTCCGACAGATTGCGACGCCGAGACAACATCCGCTTCACGTCACTGGACCCGAATGATTTTTCGACGTCTGCTTCCAAGCGCCGCAAGCACCACCTGCGGGGTTTCCGCCGTACAGCTCTGTGTCTTTTGGTGGCTTGCTTCGTCCTTATGGCCATAACGATATGTCTAGTAATCGCCGCCCTTTGGCTACGAAGCCGGTACAGAAGCCAAGGCGCTGCCCTTTACAGTACGTTGGAAGCGAGTGATCCTGACCTGCCTTCCCAATTACTTGCCCATGGGCCTACGTATCGACCAGCAATATCGAAACTTCATGACGACGATCAGTCGTCTAGGAGAGAAAGAGAAACAGTTGAGTTACCCCGGAAATTAGCGGGCCAGTCAATCTCGGAGCCCGTTATGTGGACATCAAAAACAGCTGATGACTCACCGCATGGGAGAGAAATAGTAGATCCTTCAGTAAATACAGTTACACCTGAACAGATCAGCTTTCTACCACAAAGGCAACCAAATCCGGGAACCGAGCTTGACATATCCAAAACAACGCTTTCGCCTGTGGCCAGTGAGCATGAGAGCAGTACTTATTACGCTGAGAAGGAACGAAAGTCTCTAAACGTGCAGCCGAACAAGGCTGTCTTCCCGCAGCAATCCTTTAATGCGAGCCGCTCGGACGTACACCAGATGTTCGGCGCTGACAGCCGTTTCGGCTCCAATGACGCTCTTTCCCCAAACCCTTACCCGAATGAGCTTGAGGACAGAGCCCATGCTACAGTGAACGAAAGCTCTGAAGTCATAACCAGACAAATAGATCACTGTAGAAATGAGAGCCTGTTTGAACCAACAGGCACTGGTCATCGCGATGTAACTACGATCAAAAGAGGCGCATGCCGAGCGAAGAGCGAGCAACCCATGCGTCACCTTGAGGGGTCCTTTGCGAGTAACTCGTCGACGGGACCAACAAGTAGCACACATGAAAGTTGCCCGTGTAACTCACGCTCGGACGACTTTCGCATCACGTTAGCGACCAGCGCTCTTCATCGGCCAACGATTATACGGCGGTCACTAACGAAGACAACCAGACGTTGGCGCACAGCTGGCGCAGGTACGACTACAACTTCCACGCAATCTTCGACGCGTAAGGCACGCGCCCAGTGGAAGCAGCCCACACTCTCTCTTGCGCCTCTGCCGGAGAGCAGCTCTTCTGACAGCCTCGAGAGCCTCGCCATCGTCAAGCGCATTGAGCGGCCCACCGAAGCTGACTGCTGCTACGAGGTGATAAACACGGGGTCATGGCTTCCGCTTGTGGCATTATGCAAGCGCTCCAAGCCCGTCGATTTCCTGCACGTCATACATGAAGACAGTCAGGTGACCAAGCTTCACTGGGAGGAGCCTGGCAGGGGAGATGTGTTCCACGTGCTAGGAAGTCAGGGAGAGAGGCTTGTGGGTGTACTTGAGCTTCGCGAGTTGGATATCCCATGGCATACATCACGTCTCCGAATTTCCAGAGAGCTGAGTAATCTCAAGGACAGCGTCGACAACCGTACCTCGGCCTTTTTCGTGGACGCTAGAAGCACTCTGGTCAGGGACAAGTATCCGAGGCTATTGTCAAACGCCCGAATGCAGTACGACGACAAACTCCTGCGTTCGGCTGCAGCTTCTGAAGAACCGGAACTGGTAGCCGACTACCTGGTGACAGAGATGCAGCCCGGGTGGAGCCCCCTCCCGAATTACACGTTGACCGATCCGGAACAAGCGCTAAGCGTGCTTGGTCAAGCGTGTTGGGCCCTAGCCGTCGCCGAAGCCGAGCTAGAGTTCGAACACCGCCTCCCAGTTGCCGGCGCCGTGCTCGTTCGCCCAACGCGCTCACCACGCGTCGAGTTCACGCTACGGGGCCATATCGTGCGGATCCCTAGTGCCGGGCTGAAGGTCCGGCTTCAGGGGCTTCAACTGGCAAGAATACGCATTGGAACTCGGGTTGAGCTCATGGATTTCGAGCGTTTCTACGAGTTCGTGAAAGCCGAAGACGAGGTCACCGTGTGCACCAGGATCGCCGACCTGCTGAGCAAGAACCCCACCAAGTTCGAGCCACTGACCAACGTGGTTTGGCTTCAACATTTGGCTGACTGGCTGGCATGGCAGTATGCGGATGCGGCGTCCGCGCTGTCACACTGGCAAGGCGTCCTGGCAGCCTCCTGCTCAGCCGAACACGCGACAGTCGGTAGCCGGCGGAGCCACTCGCTTTCCGGAACAGCGTCGCCTTAGATGCCGATGTGAGGCTGCTGTACACGCCCCTAATGGAACGCGTTTACGCATACTCAATATTATTAGCAGTGTTATACTGACTGGCTGCTGTTGTTATTGACCTATTCTGAACTAGCTTGTGTGCCAGACTGTTCCGTCAGTACTGAATTCCTAAAGTTTCGCTTTTGTGAAACATGGCTGACTTTAGGGAACGTTTAACCTTGCAGCACTACTTTGGGAGGAAGTTTTGACAAAATATAGTGGATTTAATTATGCGATAATGTGTCTATGGCGCATGGTAAATACGCTATAAAAACGCATGTTCGCGAAAATGGGAAGCTTTTCAGAAAATTGTACACAGTAACAGCTTTGAGGACACATTAAGAGTTGCTCATGAGGATAAAAAATTGTGGCAACAAAGCATGGTGTTCCTGAATTGACATCGTGTGTTTTTTTGAAGTTTCTGCAACGGCGTAGCATGTGCAAATGATTAATACTTACTGGTTTAGCATCGCATATCACTTTGATTAGCAGTAAAAATGAAAAAAAAAATAAGATACAAGCATTCCATTTATGACATTTTAATTTAAATGCGAAGCATTTCTTTGCGTATTGCAGGCACTTTTAGTGTCAATCTATCTATCTAAGTAACCGCGGGCGGCTATTTGCCACTGATATGCGGGTATGTGCCACAGGTAATCGGCACTCTATATCTACTCAGGAACAGCAAGAACACGCTCAGCCGAACACGCGACAGCCGGCAGCCGGCGGAGCCACTCGCTTTCCGGAACAGCGTCGCCTTAGACGCCCATGTTAGATTGCTGTACCCGCCCCTAATGGAACGCGTTTACGCATACGCAATCTTAATTTTCAATAGCAGTGTTATACTGACTAGCTGCTGTTGTTATTGACCTATTCTTATTAAGCTTGTGTGCCAGACTATTCCGTCAGTACTGAATTCCCAGAGTTCGGCTTTTGTGAAACATGGCTGACTTTAGGGAACGTTTAACCTTGCAGCACTACTTTGGGAGGAAGTTTTGAGAAAATATAGTGGATTTAATTATGCGATAATGTGCCTATGGCGCATGGTATATATGCATTGAAACGCATGTTCGCGATAGGAAGGTTTTCAGAAAATTATACACAGTAACAGTTTTGAGGACACATTGACAGTTGCTCATGAGGCTAAAAAATAATGTGGCAACAAGGCATTGTCTTTTTGAATTGACAGGGTATGTTTTATTCAAGTTTCTGGAACGGCTTAGCATGTGCAAATGATTAATACTTACTGGTTTAGTCTCGCATATCACTTTGATTAGCAGTAAAAATAAAAAAGCAAGACACAAGCATTCCATTTGTGAGATTTTAATTTAAATGCGAAGCATTTCTTTGCGTATTGCAGGCACATTTAGTGTCAATCTATCTAAGTAACCGCGGGCGGTTAATTGCCACTCATGTGTGGGTATGTGCCACAGGTAATCGGCACTTTGTATCTACTCAGGAACGGCAAAAACACGTAGTAATTTTAATGCGCGAGCATTAAGAAAATGCTGAAATCGGCAGCGTTGACACGAACGATGTAAAGAATAAAAAGCAGGAATCGAACCCCAGAACTCTGCGTGGCAATTGAGTATTTAACCACAGAGCCACGCCGGGTCTCGGAACTACTTTTCAAATAGTCCTTAATGTTCTTTAAGTGCAAATTCTGGTTGCAGTCCTGACAATTGAAGTTACTGACCACTACACTGGCACTCCTGCTATACAGCTTTCACTTCGATTTAACGCCGATTATTGTAGTTAAGGGCCATCCAGTGAAGTTCATTTATGTTGCGGCATACAGAGCTATAGCATCCTCGCAAGCACTAGCACTTCATATCAGCTTACCGCATCTGCTGTTGCTATTATCCGTGTTGCTGCTGGCATCGTTACGCAACTTTAAACAACTGTTTATATAAAACATATGTGGATGTTTTACCTATGTATGTGCTTGAATTTGCACATATCCTTAGCGCCACTTCGTGACGTTTCACTCGGCAAAGAATTACAACACAGTCGCCTTCCATGTGCATGCTTCGCGTAGCATCGATTCCCAAGGTGCGTGGGATCTACCGAATTCTTATTTCTATCAAGTTTTACTAACGCATTCCAGTAATGAATTACACAAACTACACGTCTTGTCAAATAATTATTGCAGTGTGACGACGTCACAGTATACTACCATCTACGTAGGGCCATGCGGTCGTGTACACCATCCCCTCATTTTTGGGCGTGCGCCCACGAGAAAAAGGGGAAGCAGTGTTAACCTTCAAATATGACTAATTTCGGCTTTGCGTAGCGTTTTAAATTTCGGCAGGAGTGATCTTGAATGGTCAAACTTAGTGAGAGGCTCCTTAAGGGCCAACAGCCAATGAAGCGGATGTGCAGCAGGAGACGACCGAAGCAGTGATGCTGTGAGGGTTAATTCGATGCTATAATACTTGCGGCAGAATCGGTGCTGCGTAGGATGAAAATAAGAGGTGTGTGCGCTAGGAAGTGAGACACCAATTTGATTCGAGCCAAGCATATATGAGAAGTTAAACGAAAGGCTTTTAAACCAAAATTGCTACAGCAACGTTGAGTAAAGTGCAGGGCCTTCAGCGCTCAATTTAAGTGCGAGCTACGGTTCCTTCACTTGTGAAAATAAAACGTGGCCTGTATCGGATTAAAGCTTCTCTCCTTTATTGGACAAAATCATACTCTAATTGTCGGAGGTTTGTACTAAATACGCGTGTGGCAAGCCTGATAAAAATATCTACAAGGAGGTTTTAAAAAAATTGCTGCAGTGGGAGCTCCCGCAATGCTTTTCCAGCAGTAGCGAAGCCAGCTTTTGCCCTCCAAAGATCTCAGAAACATGCTACTTTCTGATGGTGCCCAGCAGCAGCAGCAGCCTGACTACGTCCACTGCAGGACAAAGGCCTCTCCCATGTTCCGCCAGTTAACCCGGTCCTGTGCTTGCTGCTGCCAATTTATACCCGCAAACTTCTTAATCTCATCTGCCCACCTAACCTTCTGTCTCCACCTAACCCGCTTCCCTTCTCTGGGAATCCAGTCAGTTACCCTTAATGACCAGCGGTTATCCTGTCTACGCGCTACATGCCCTGCCTATGTCCATTTCTTCTTCTTGATTTCAGCTATGATATCCTTAACCCCCGTTTGTTCCCTAATCCACTCTGCTCTCTTCTTGTCTCTTAAGGTTACACCTACCATTTTTCTTTCCATTGCTCGCTGCGTCGTCCTCAATTTAAGCTGAACCCTCTTTGTAAGTCTCCAGCTTTCTGCTCGGTAGCTAAGTACCGGCAAGATACAGCTGTTATATACCTTCCTCTTGAGGGATAGTGGCAATATACCTGTCATAATTTGAGAGTACTTGCTGAATGTGCTCCACCCCATTCTTATTCTTCCAGTTACTTCAATCTCGTGGATCGGCTCTGCGGTTATTACCTGCCCTAAGTAGATATAGTCTTTTACAACTTCAAGTGCACTATCACCTATCTCGAAGCGCTGCTCCTTGCCGAGGTTGTTGTACATTACTTTCGTTTTCTACAGATTAATTTTAAGACCCACCTTTCTGCTCTCCTTGTCTAACTCCGTAATCATGAGTTGCAATTCGTCCCCCGAGTTACTCAGCAATGCAATGTCATCGGCGAAGCGCAGGTTACTAAGGTATTCTCCATTGACTCTTATCCCTAACTGTTCCCATTCTAGGCTTCTGAAAACCTCCTGTAAGCACGCAGTAAATAGCATTGGGGAAATTGTGTCCCCCTGCCTTACACCCTTCTTGATTGGTATTCTGTTGCTTTCTTTATAAAGCACTATGGTAGCAGTTGATCCCCTGTAGATTTCTTCCAGAATGTTTATATATACTTCATCTACGCCCTGATTCCGCAGTGTTTGCATGACGGCTGATATTTCTACTGAATCAAACGCCTTCTCGTAATCTATGAAGGCTATGTATAGTGGTTGGTTATACTCTGAGCATTTCTCTATTGCCTGATTGATAGTATGAATGTGGTCAATTGTTGAGTAGCCTGTTCGAAATCCTGCTTGTTCCTTTGGTTGATTGAATTCTAATGTTTTCTTTACTCTGTTAGCAATTACCTTTGTAAATAGCTTGTATACTACAGAGAGCAAGCTGATCGGCCTGTAATTCTTCAAGTCCTTGTCATCTCCTTTCTTATGTATTAAGATGATGTTAGCGTTCTTCCAAGACTCTGGTACTCTTCCCGTCAGGAGACACCTCGTAAACAGGGTGGCTAGTTTTTCTGACACAATCTGTCCTCCATCATTCAGCAGATCTGATGTTACCTGATCCTCACCAGCAGCTTTGCCCCTTTGCATGCTCTCCAAAGCTTTTCTGACTTCTTCTATCATTACTGGTGGGGTGTAATCTGGGTTACTGCTAGTTCTTATAGTATTAAGGTCGTGGTTGTCTCGGCTACTGTACAGATCTCTGTAAAACTTCTCCGCTATTTTAACTATCCTATCCATATTGGTAGTTATTTTGCCTTCTTTGTCCCTTAGGGCATACATCCGACTTTTGCCTATCCCAAGTTTCCTCTTCAATGCTTTGACACTTCCTCCGTTTTTCAGAGCGTGTTAAATTCTTTCCATGTTATACCTTCTTACATCGCATACCTTACGTCTATTAATCAACTTCGAAAGCTCTGCCAGTTCTATTTTGTCTGTTGTACTTGACACTTTCGTGATTTGACGCTTTCTTAATTAGGTTCTTCGTTTCCTGGTAAAGCTTGCCAGTGTCCTGTCTAACTACCCTGCCTCCTCCGTAATGATACTCGTCAGATTATCATTCATTGTATCTACGCTAAGGTTGGTTTCCTCACTAAGAGCCGAGTACCTGTTCTGCAGCGACACTCTGAATTCCTGTACTTTCCCTCTCAGTGCTAGCTGATTGATTGGCTTTTTTGGCTAGCTGATTGATTGGCCCAACTAGACATCAAATGGCTCGGATTCGTTAGCATAAA